CAAATCCTGAAACAAAGTTTCAACATGTAAACCAGCGCTTGTGTATTTGAATATTTTGGTGAGGTTTCTTTGGGGATATCCAGAATTCAAGAGGATCACCTGATGATAGCATTAGAGCTGTTGTACTGAAAGGAGGGGAGAGTTCAGTTTAATTTTGTTTTTCTGGAAGCATGTATCTTATAGAAAAGATATGTTTTACCATAACTTTCAGACAGAGGACTAAATTTTGAGATGTTTCCAAGCTCTTTATGCTGCCAAAAGCGCAATTTGCATTCTTTGACTCTGACTCATAATCTTAATTTTGGATCCCACACCTTCAGAGATACTGGCCTAATTTCAAATCTGTCTTGTGATGATCTGAATACCTTTGTAAAATCCTGTTTTCTTTTAAAAATAAAAAAGACAACAAATCAAGAAGTATTGTGACATTTTCCAAAAGGCATTAAGAAAAAGCTTTTTGGCCAACCCTAGCAATTATGCCATTGTATTTTGTGCAGCCAAAGGACCAAGACCACATCACATAAATGTCTGGTACTTAGAAGAGGCTTTCTGCACTGTCACAGTTAATTGTTTGGGCTCTGGCATAACTCGGAGGTCAAAAGTATCTGTAGGTATTTTCCGAAGACTTCTTGTTTTGTATTTCAGTGAGTAAAATGGTAAACTCTGTTGAATCATTCTTCTTTCAATTTTTTTCCCAGGTCATGAAGGTTCAGCAATTCTTCAGAAAGCAGAGGTAGAAATTATTGACCAAACGTTATGTCATTCCACATATGGAATTATCACAGCTAGGATGTTTTGTGCTGGACTAATGTCTGGGAAAAGAGATGGGTGCAAAGTATGTATTTTAGCACATTTTGCATAGAGTTTATCTTGTCTTTCATTGTTGCATGAGGAGGTGTACGAATTGACTGGCAAATTACTTTGTCATCCATATGTTTCAGTTCTGAAAAACAGTGATGTAAGAGTTGTCTATCAGCAAACTTGTCACCTGGGTGTTTTCAGAGTTTTGCTGCTTTATGTGCATGGGTAGTGTGACTAAGTTTCCGTTGCAGGCCAAGGGCCAGTCAGTTTGCAAGTCCCAAGAACAAGTTGAACGCAGGCAAATTTTGGCACAAGAGTGTCTCAGTTAAAGAAAAACTGAGAAACTAGCTTGTCTCTTTTCAGGATACCTTCCTCCCAACTTGGAACTACAGGGCTAGCTGGTGAGATGCAGACAGATAGGCATAAATTTCCAAATGTATAATATTTCTGATCTGGAAATGTTGAAAGATAATAAACGTGAAGTTCTGAATTTACTTCCAGTGAATAGTAGTAAAACTATGTATATACACACTTTACATACGTAAAATATTATATATTATATAAATATATATCTTCTATAATTTATACTATACTATATAGAACTTATATAAACCATATATATTCACTACTATTTTACTAGTAAATTTACTGCTAAAATAAGAGTAAAATACTATTTTTTTTTTTATGATGAAGATCTGGAATTTTCAGGATGTTCTGGCTTTCACTGGTCTACATAAAAGAGAGAGCAATCATAATGGTTCTTAAGTCAAGCAACGTCTGAAGGCTTTCAGAGGGAGTATAATGCACTGGCAGCTTTTTAGAAATTAGCGAGACAGTTGACATTAAGCGTAATTTTCATAAACATCATAAGTGGAGAATGTGTTTCTGCAGTTATCTTTATTGCCACTCAAGATATAGCCAAGGAAAGGCATAATTTACAGGTCTTTTGGCTGCATTTCTGTAAGGGCAAATGATTTGTGACTGTGTCTGGCAGTTGTTGGAGCAGACTGAAATGTGGGATTTCAGTTTTGTGAAAAATGTTGGTGTTCCACTTTTCTCTTGTCCCAAGAATTAAAGAAAAAACTTGAAAATTTGACTCTCTAAATGCAAAATCTTAGATGTCAATGAAGGAAAAAATTAGCTTCCAAGTTAAATCTTTAGCGATTTTGTGAGGCAATTCAAGACAATCCTATTTTGAGCAGCAGGTGTCTTTACTAGATCATCTCCTGATGACCCTTTCAACCTGTATATCCTAAGATCCTACAAAGGAAAATAGTTTCCTAGCTCTAACAAAGTATATGTCTCGAAAGTAGACACTTCTCTTGCAAAACATTTTACCAACCCACCTTTTGCGTTTGGAAGTCCTTTATTGTATCCAACGTTCTGGTAAAGTGTCATTTGCTATTAGCTGTCTTTTTCAGAGATGTTATATGTGGAGCAGAGTCTTACAGGAAAGTATAAGCTTGACCCAAGACATTTTCCCCAAATGGTGGCACTTTTTTTTTTTCCTGAACCTCTGCCAATATATTTCTACAAGAATATCCTATGAGGGAAGAGTACTGTTTATCCTGTATTATGTAATTATGCCATCCTCTATAAAACTTTGATGTCTGTAAGAGACTTTATTTTAACTGCTCTGATTACAAAGATATTATGTGACTCTAAACATTACATGCCAGACAACACTTAGGGTTGGTTTGTGTGTGGGGGGGGGGTCCTTCTTTTTTTAAAAAAAAAACAACCCAGATCAATTGAGGGATTAAATCTGCTCCCATTTACCATTAATTTGAAAGAAAGTATATAATTATTAAATATTTTATTTTATTTACTGTATTTCATTTTATTCTTGATTGTTTTTTTTAAAGCTTACTATTTTTTGAAGTCATTAGGCGTGTAACCTATAAATGAACCTACATATTAAGTAGCAGATTTCAGATTTAGCTGTAAGTTTGAGGCTAGGAAACAAAATGTGGATTTCAGATCAAGTCCATGACAGGTAATATCTTTATTAGTGTCTTTAAAGAGTGAGAGCTAGGCCTCTCTCCTGTGAAAAAGCAAACTTTGGTACCATTATTCAATCCCATCTTCTTCAAGAAAAAACCCTCTGCGGACTATCTAATGGTTTGAACTATGTGAATGGGAAAGTATAATCACTGTTGTAACTACTCACGCGAAACATCTTCTGTGGAATTTTGTTTTAATGATCTGTATTGTAAACACGTACAACTCAATATATTCTTTTTAGGGTGATTCTGGTGGACCTTTGTCATGTCAAAGCAATGGAGATGGAAAATGGTTTCTGACTGGCATTGTTAGCTGGGGTCATGGATGTGGAAGACCAAATTTCCCAGGTGTCTACACAAGAGTGTCAAATTTTGCACCATGGATTCAGAAATATGTGCCTTCAGTCTTGTAACTTGAAAACTGTTTTGCAGGAATAAAATATGTCCTAGATATTTTCATTAAAAATCACATTTGATAAAACTGTTCAGTGGTGAAATTTCTTGTCATGTCTCCCTGCTGATTCTGGAGTACACGTATGGAAATAACAAATACCCTTTGTTCAAACCTTGGTGAAAGAGGAAGACGAAGAGACTGTTCCTTGTGGCGGTTGTTCTGTGCTGATGTCTGGAGACACAGGAGGAGGTTCAATAATAAACTTCTGGCACTTCGTGTTCATGTTTCAGGCACCAACTAAGTGCATGTGCAATCATCTGTCAGGAAGCTGAAGATACAACTGATCACCTAGAGATAGAGCTTAAGGTTTACTCAGTCATTTCCTCTGAGATGTGTACAGCCCAATATAGTAGTAACTGTGAAGCAGCAATCAACTGTTAGTACTCTTGCAAATACTACTTGCCCTCCCTCCTCTGCCAAGAACAGCTGACAGAGGAAGAGCAAGAGGAGGGATTGCAGAAAGTGAACTCAATCCTCTCAAATGCATAGGGCCCTCAGTTTTGGAGATCAGAAGTTCTGTGGTTAAGCACAGAACAAAGCATTATTCTCATTCCTTCTCCAGCTTTCATTTTAATTACCTGCATGACTTGGAGCTACTAACTCTCCACCTGAGAGTCTGAATTCTTTATCTTCTGGCAAGCTTAACAAGATGACTAAACGTGGTGATGTGTGTTATTGCAATGATCTTGTCCTTGCCCAAATAAAACTAATGCTTCCACCCTCTGAGAGGTACTGCTATGGAATTGGGTTCCATCCATTGGGTTTTTAAAAAGTCCTGGTACAATTCCTAGAGATAATGCAAAAGGGGTTTGTTTCCTCTGGGTTTCTTTTCCATGAAGGAAGGGGCAGAGTATCAGTCAGTCAGCAGGTTGTGTGTGTTGCAAAGATAGGTTGTTGGGGAAAAAAAAAAAAAAAAGACTTGACAAAGCAGTCTCTTTACAGTTGTAGTTTGCGTTCCCAAGCTGTGACGATTGCCTTCCAACTAATCATCTTTGTAGTTTGGGATATCTGTGTTGGGATTGGTTTGTTCCCTTTTCGTTTTCTGGGACTGAAGTTTCTGGGCCTGTTTTTTTTTTCCGGGTTTTGTTCTTTGTGAACTTGCTTACTCCCCCCATACATAAAACACGTTCTTTGCCTGCACACATCCTTGATTTTCTTATTCTACGTGCAGAATACCCTGAACTTGTCAGTTTGCTGACTTAAAACTGGTTTTAATTTCAAACAGGAAATGTGAACATGAATTGCTTTGCAATTACGTCTATTCTATGGTACCGGCCTGAGGCTGGAAAATTCAGACAGTCTGTGGAATTGTGCATTTCTTCTCTCTTATAAATATTTCTGTGGATTCCACCAGGTGTTCATTGGAAGTTGCCTCATTTACCTTGCTCTGGGACTTTTTATCTGTAAATTGCTTGTTTGTCCTTTGCATTGTGTCATAAATTATTTCCTACTCCTGTATTTCTGAAAGAAGTGAGTAACTGAGCTGTTTTCAAATGATGGGATCCATATCCTCCTTAGCCAGTTAAGAAAACAAAGAGTTACAGTGATAGCAGCTTTCCCCCCCACCTTCTTTGATTGCAGATCAGCTGGCTGCAGCTTCAAGCAGTACGGCAAAGGTGAGATGAGAGAAGTGTGGTGTGTGTGGTGGGGAGAGCAGCACACTGTTCTGGTTTATGTTTAAGAAATGAGGTTCATCTAGGATTTTGTTATTAGGTTTGTCAAAAGGCATTTGTCAAGGCATCATGACACGGGCTTTCCCCTCCAGCCGGGTTTCTGCATACAGCATACCAGCTCCATACGACTCTGAGCAGACTGCAGGGCAGGTAAGAGACACCAGCTAAACTTTACAGTAGGAACTCAGTAAAAGATCTCTCTGCCCACTCTGGTATGTATTGACCTCTGTTCTTTATATGCAAATTGCTCCTAATCAAAGTGATAAAAATTTTCCCCTCCACTTACATAGCTTGAAATGCATGCTGCAAGGAAGCAGCTGAGAAATATGTGGGTTTCGTGTGTGACATAGCTGATAATATAAAAGATATTATTTCAACTTAAACCTCTTTAAAAACTAAAAGGGTAAATATACTAAAACATGGTACAATAGCCCCTCTTTTGTTGTCTTAGTAGTCGATACCTTCCCGTGTCTTTCTTTAGGAAGGTCTGGATATTCACTACTGCCCATCCTACCGAGAAGGCTTGTGTCAGAAGTACTGTTTCCTCAAATGGATGAGGTTGTGTTTCTGGAGAAGACGGCTTCTAGGAATATTACCTATAGTTTCTTTAATAGTTACAGTAATCGTGCTAGTCCTGCACTGTTCATTCTGTAAGTGTTTCTCCCCAGCATGGTCTGGATGGCATACATATTTTGCACTGTGTGAATGACTAGTACAAAAAGCTCTGCACTAAGTAGCTAAGCACGTAATGTGTGCATAAACTGCTAACTTTCCCTTCTCCTTAATGTCTTTGCTGAAGCAACAAAATGCACGTGTATTTAGCAATTATTTGCACAAGAATAATGAAGGTATTTTGTCTCTAAATCTTTTGAATCGGCTTCTGAATATCATTATTATTTTAACTGCCGTCTTTCCCAAGAACCTATAAGAATTAACTGTCTGTCTTCTATTCCCTTTTTCAAACCAGAATGGGTACCTAAATTATGTACTCTCTTCCCAGATCTCAATACATAGCAATTTTAACCATAGCTTTTCAGGAGGGTAGCACTGTAAAAAACGGAAGTTTAACAATTAAAGCCTCCTAGTAAAAATGAGTGTCTGAACCTGTACCTCGTGCCTCTCTGTTCCTTCTGGGCATTACTCTGTCAATGGGACTGACTCTGCACTCTGGTGTTACTGCATATTTCTCTTAAGATCTAATACCTACAGATGTCAAGGAAAAATACTTGCTTCTGCAAGCTTCTTGTTCTGGAAGATTTCCATAATGCTATTAAGTGTGTTAATTTTTTTCATCCTTTTCTTTTCTTCTCCCCAGCTCCACCTTTCTCCTTTATTTATATTGGTGGCAGTGTAGAAATTCCTAATTTGACTTATACAAATGACCTCAATGATCCAAAGTCACAGAAATTCCTCCTGCAAGCAGAAGCAATCCAAAATTACGTAAGTTCCCATATAAGTGTAGCAATAATTTAAAAATATTTATTATAGAATCAGACTAGGAATAAGTAGAAGACTCCAGTTAGTCACATATTTTTTTCCTTCAAAATAATAAGTTTAAAGCTAGCAAGTGCCTTGGTGGGGTACAGCTTTAGGAATGTAGCTAGACATCTCTGTCTCGCAGTAAGGCCAACATTTTCTAGCAAATAAAACTTGGGGGTTTCAAGGTTATAGACAAATTGTTCTTCTTAAAGGAATTAGGAACGTGGGTTTTTTCACTTTATTTTACTTAAGCACTCTTCCTTGCTACATTTTTCTCTTTGATTTTCTTTCTTTTTTTTTTTTTTAAATTATAGCTCAAATTCAATGCTTAACTTTTTGTTTTGTTTTCTCTTATCCCCACAACAATGCTTGCTTTCTTGCACTTCTTGTGTGAGTTCCTATTTGTGCGATCAATACTGTTTCCTGGGTACATGTGAACAGCAGCCTTAAACACAAAGCAGTTCTCTGTTAGCCTGCATTTCCCAGGAGAGCTAATCTAGTGTCTCAAAGCTGCTTTGTCCACAACGAATACAAGTGGCTTATACCCAGACTACATGCTGGAAATTTAAAGTCTGAAACAAAAATATAAATGTATTCATAAAATCTTCTTTTCATGGCTAATTATCAAGAGCTATCTCAATGGTCTTGAAATGTGGTGTGACTTAAAAGTTATTTGTTTATTTATTTTTAGTGGAAATGAATGAGCATTTATGATCCTTATTTGATACATTTTGTGAAAATGATGGATAATGCTTGTAATATGGGGGGGTATGAGGAAAAGGAAAGGAAGAAAAAGACAAATACTTTGTAGTATAAGAGATGACATTGACACTAAAATGTAATGCTTTACATTTTTCTTTTCCCATTACTTAACTGTCAGTTTGCAGAAACATACGAGTCTTCCTTCTTGGGAAAGTACTACTTGAAGTCTGTAGTGGTTGCTTTCAGGTGGGTACTGTTCCAGCATATGGTGTAAATTTGAGATAATCAGTTTCTTTTGTCTTCTCTTTTTCACGCATTTTAAATTAGTTATCTGGAAGAACATGCAGATCTCTGTAATAGAGAATGAGAAACGCAGTAATGCTCTTAAGTATGTAAGTTAAGAGCTATGCTAATAGTGTGACTTCTGTCTTGCCCTGTAGAATTGGTAAGAGAAATGAAGTCCGATTAATTGTTCCTTGGTTTATGGATTGCTTTGTAGTCTGTTCATCTGTGTTTGGTTTTTGAAATCACAGTTCAGCAGGTTTTTCTTCTATCACCTGCAGAATTTTTTTTTCCGCCTATTTAAATTAAATTCCTTTTTAACCTGTCAAAACAAAAATTAAAGGTATACTTTCAGGCAGGGCACTCTACTTAAGCTCCTGGTGAGAAATGTAAATACATTGAGCAGATGGCTACTACTATCCTGATAGGCTTTGAAAACTTCTGAAAGTTCAGTCCATAGGCCATTTTGAATGGACTGTCTCTTTGAATCACTTAAGTAATACTTTGTATATGTGTACTTACAGATTTTTTTTTTATTTCAATATTTTGTGAAATTGTGTGAAACGTATCAAAGTATGGACATAAAATTATATTGTCATATGGTGCTAGTCTGAGTTAAAAAATATTAAAGAAAATGTGTCTGGAGCTGTAATTGTATCTTAAAATTGTATAATTATACTGCAGGGATGGAAACATCCAATTCCATAAAAGCTATTGCAGGGATTTTCTGTGAGGTGTAGTTTTCAGTCTCTGTGTATAACTGTTTAAGCAGTATATTTTCAAAGTATTTCTACTGTGTAGAGAAAACAACTTTTAAACAAGAGAGCTCTTTGCCACCATGTTCAGCTCCAACTCTTTGCACAGCAGTTTAACTGGCTATGAAACTGTGCAAAACAAAAATGCAGACCAGTGGAAGCATGTCCAAAATGCTAATTAGAGTGTATTTATGATGCATTTTTTTCCTTCCACAGTGAAGGAGAGTCTGGACTTTGAGCTTACTACTGGAATACATTCTGGGCACCACAAGATATGGTTGCTTCTCTTAAAAAATTAACCCCTGTGGAACAAAAAGAAATCAGTAGTAAACAAGCAGCTCACGTGTTCAGTTCTTCTAGGGAGGAAGATTTTGATCTTGTTATAATGGAGCTTTTTGGTAACAATGTACCTGTCATTTAATACTTATTCTGTCTATTTTTCTTTCTCCAGTTTCTGTTTTTGGCTTGTGTGGCTAATACTTACCAAATTTCAGTTTCAGATTCTGCAGAATATGATGTGATGCTAAAATCAGGTAATTGTGCCTCAATCCCAACTGATAATGCTTTTGGGAAAAAAAATCCTGTAATAGAAAAATGGCAGTTTCCCAGTTATTCTTATATCTGTAGGGCCTACAAACCAACCCAGACTAGGGATCTCCCTGGCCTGTGTTCCAAATAAAGGCTGGGATGAAAATACCTTACAGCTGTTGTTCTGATGTTCTGACTAGAATGGTTGAAATTTATTAGTCCCAAATGAATTGCAATGAGCTCTGGCTCCTTTTCTTGGCAACTTTTAAAAAGCTACTATACAAAATCATACATAGTTTATTTACCTTGTGACTAGATAACTTTGATTATTCATAGTTAACGATCAGTCAAATGCTGTAGAGATTTAATTCATTTTGCCTGGTTTCTCCATATCAAGCACATCTCAAGATTGACTTGATATACTTACTGTTCTCGGTGCATGGAAAGGACTGAAGAGAAAATGGCAAAGGAAGCAGTAGGTTTCAAGCAGAGATGGCAGGAGTTGCAGTCAAGTCCCCTCCTGTTTGCTGAGTGTGCGATGAGCTGGTGGTGGTGAGGTGGTGTACTTCCTTGGCCAGAAGCAAGGAAAAGGTGATGCAGCCTGATAGGGAACAAGGGACAGAGTTGTAAAGGAAAGGGGAAAAAGAGATTAGATTAGTCAAGAAGTATGTGTAGATGATTGTTGCCACCTCTTCTGAAATTTTACCCAATAACTTAGTTTATCTTTAAACTCAACAGTTTTTCAGCCACTGATATAGCTTCTTTTGTATAGCAGTATCCTTTGACCTGTATGCCAAGCCAGGTAACAACAGGACTCTAACTCTGTTGAATCCCAAGAAGTCTTTTTATCAACGGAGGCTGCGAGTTCCTTCTAACTATGTGGTGAGACTCGTAGTTATCACTTTGCATGGTGTCACTCCAGAGAGCTGTGCATCACACCATTTATCAGCATATGATTTCCTTCTTCCTCTGCAGAACAAGATCATTACAAGGTATAGTAGTATAGAGCAGAGATGTTTTATTGAGTTGTACAGAAACTCTCTGAAACTGTAGTGATATCAAATTGATGTTAAATGGGCTTCCAAAATATAAGACTTCAAATACAACTTGATTAAAAATCTGGTATAAGGCAACAAAAAGATCTTCCATATTATTGCCCTCCGCCCCCAAATTAGAATCGTAGAATATCTTGAGTTGGAAGGGACCCATAAGGATCATGTCCAACTCCCTGCTCCTCACAGGACTACTTGAATCAAAACTGTGTGATTACAAGCATCATCCAGATGCTCCTTGAACAGGCCGTGACCACTTCCCTGGAGGGCCTGTTACAACTTTCTGTGGGCTTTATTTTACATTATGACTAATTTTTAAAGTTTTGATTTCACACAATTACTGTCACAATGCAAAGAGATACAGACTTTAATTTTTTTGGAGTATTGTATTCTACAACTTTTAGAAAATACATGTTTTATAGCACTCCAGTCACAGGCAAATCCCTATTCATAACAGGGGTATTGTGTCTATGGAAGGCTCCATCCTCAGAGTCACTGTGTAGTCCATTTGCGTAAGTGAGATCAGATGATATTTAACCTTCAGTGGCCACACTGCTCTCACTTTCTGGAGTCAAATTTCATGCATGGACATGTTATCCACCATGAACCTGTCTTCATTAACAAAGTAAATAAACAAGTTATAGAATCTGAGGATGCATAGTTTCAAGGGGGCAATATTTTTCTTTTCTTTTTTTTTTTTTTTTTTTTAAGAACTTTCAGGAAGAGGCTAAGCTGAGCATGCAGATTCAGTTAGCAGTGTCTGAAACTCACTTATTGAGTAGTGCTTTAAATTACTTGACTAGGTAGTCCTTTTCAGCTCTATTAACAGACTTACTTCTCTCCTTATGCAACAAGACACAAGAGCCTGCCATTGTTGGCAGACTGTCAGAAGGCCAGGCATGGAACAAACACAGGGATTTTGTAAGGACTTCGTCTCAGACTGTAGCATAGCAAGGAGAATCCCTTTCCTGATGCTGGGCTGCATCTGTTCTGCTGCTAATTACGTGTTATTGCTGGGACTGTTACTCCATTGCTCATTATTTGCAATGGCTTGGCTTTTTTAGGAACCAGAAATGTAGAGTCAGCCACGTGCATGACAGCACCTGGAAGCTAGCAAAACCGATGCAGGTATATGATGTAACTTATTCAGAGAACATCAACGCAGTATGCTGTAAGACAGAAAGTTCAAGAATGTGCATTCCTGTCTGGCTATCAAAGAACCAGAACAGAATTTGGTGACTGAAATTATGTTAAAAGCCTGATGTGACCTCCAAAAAAGTTGACTTTTTTTAGTTACTTTGTTACCATCCTAGCAAATGTGTGTGTTTACATATGCCTATTTGTTTCCTACTTAAGCTAAAAGCTGTTAGTGACATACTTAGGACAGGTGCAGTAGAACTAATAACAATATCTCCAATATCCATGGCAGACAGGAATTACTGTATTATAGCCATTATTTCCTGATGTTCAGGGAATAATGGCCACAGGGTCGCACATGGCCACTAAAATGATTCTCACCAGTTTCCGTAAGCTGCAGTAATACAGCTGTTCAACAGCTGTACGGTGACAAATACCAAAGAGTGAGCCGAGATTGAGAGATGTACTGTAAAAGCAGGTATCTTATGGGGACAACTCTTCTCATATGTGCTTGCCTTGGTATTCCGATGATACTGCGACAAAAGGTATAGATAGAAGATAAGCCAGTCTGTCAACAGGGTAGAAGATCAAGATGCTGTAAGATTTCCATGTGGCAGCGTGGAAAAAACTCAAATTGTTCGTTTTGTAAATGATTTGACAGATACTATCATTAAAAGGATTTAATAGTGTCCGCAAGAGAGAGGCAAATCACAGATCCGTTGTGTACTCTCTCGCATGAAATGGGAGCAGGGAATAGCCTGCTAAAGCAGAAGACGACCACTTTCAGTTTAAGGTTCAAAAAATTGATTTCAATGCTGCCACTCGATCTCAGTGATGTCGAAGAACTTGATGCAGGGCTGTGAGGGAAATACTCTGTCACTATGAGGTCTAAACTTAATTGCTTTCGTTTGCTGTGCATAGAAAAAGAGAAAATTGTTAGAAATTTTCACACACAGCTCTATAGATTAATGAAAAGAAATTCAAAATATGCTGTGGGTTTTAAAATGGAATAAATATAAGAGTGAACTTACAGATGCAAGAAATAGCATCTTAAATTACAAGTGGTAGTAAGCTTTCAAGCTTCGGGATATAAATTAACTCCTCATTATTTAAACAAAAAGAACGATAAGAAGAAATAGCTGCCATGCATGGGGCTTCACACCTTGTGTGACATAAAACCAAGCTGAATGTTAATTGGAAGTGATTTGGGCTTGTCATCCATTGCACAGATGCTGCTCAACACTGCTGCACTGGCACTTGTTGCCGCCCGCTACGTCTCAGTGCCACTATCACTAATGAAGCAACATAATTTGGCACTGCCTTTATGATATTTCTAGAGGTCTGAAAACTCCAGAGCACCTGTTAGGCAAAAATATCTGTGATGTTCACTCTGAGTGACTAAGCCTCAATGCTGGGAAACTCTAGCGTCTTGTGTAGTATCAACCGGGTGGAAGAATAAAAGGGAAGTGGTATCCAGGGGAATACTTCTGAAACACAGATCAGTGTTACTTCTGCCCAGTTTCTCAGCAAAGATGACTGGAATGTGGGAAATGATTTGGATTTTTTTATGCAATTTTTGTAACATTTCAGATGGTGTGGACCTGGGGCCTGGATGCCTCCTGTTGTACATTTAACTTCATCAAGTAACGTAATGTTACTTACCTTCTCACTGAACTGAAGAGAAGAAAGCGACGTATTAAAAGCTCACTTTCAAGCTATTCCTAAAATCAGCAAGTGATTAATAGAAACAAGCACTTGATGTAGGTACAATTATTCCTGTTGTTGCCCCTAAAAGAGTTGATTTTTCCTGAATGTATCTGGGGGGAGGGAATGTTGGCATGAAGTCGGGGAATTGTTGTTCCGACCAACTTTAAAAAAGAGTCTGAGAATTGAACAAAGAATAGAGAATAACCTTTGGTCTTGGAGATGTTTTGTCTTCCTGATTACTACCCAAGCCATACTTCCCAGACATTACTCTTACTACATGGGTCACACTGAACAATGGTAGCAGAGCAGCCAGCCAGATAACACTACAGGCACTATATATTTAGGCAAATCTAGATACCGCCAGTGACAGAGTGGTACTTTTATCTGGTTTGTCAATTTATCCCTAGCTTGGGGAATGCGTGTTTAATGAAAATGGAAAACAAGAGCAAATACTTCTAGTATGTCTTTGATCCTTTTCTTAAAGCACTGTTCAGTGTAGGTAACTGTATAAGAAAAGTGTATTCAAGACCCAAGAGGTATGCTCCAAACCTATGGAATACTATGAATTTTGCAGGAGTTCTAAGTGATTTGTGAAATGTTTTGAGTAATGATAAACCGTAGTATTTTATAGCAGATATAGGGGCTTCACAAATGAAAGTTTAGCCACAGTTATTTAGTAAGGTCTAAGTGAAAGAATTTTGACAATTAAGCAGGTGACTATTTTGTAACTTGTGGAACAAATCATAGGGGATAAACTCCAAAGCTTAAGATTTTCAGCTTGTGTCTCTGCGGATGCTGCTTAAGCAAATACTTATCCCATGCACATTACAATTTAGAATTACTTTATCTGAAGATGGGCACTCTAAATGATGTATAGTCTGGGTTTTGTCCAAAATTTTGCTATTTTCGAAATTGTCTTAATTTCTGTTATATTCATGTTTGCATTTACTATGTTAATTAAAGGGAACAAAAGCACTAAGGACTGGATATCTAGGAGACTTCTTGGTAGAAAATAAAGCCTCAAAGATATTGTTCCAACGTGGCATGAATTTTCAGACTGAGAACTGACACACAAACTTCCTGGTTAAATGAAATTAATCAGAGATTTCACTTCATTGGACTGACTACTTTTTAATTTTTGAAAACGTCTACAGAAAGGTCAGAAGTAAATTGAAAGGGGGAGGTCTGTTGTGCCTACATCTAATTGCTTCCTTCACTTAGCATGAAAGAATATTTAAAAAAAAAAATCTTCAGTCGGAGGTGTTTTGTACTTATCCTTTGCTCCAAAAGTAAGATAAATTCAGTGCGACGTGGAAGTGGAAGTTATGAGATTTTTCTATTAATACAGGCAAAACCTGGGTTTAATACTGTCACAACCCATTCTTCTAACTCTGTATGTAGAGAGGGGTCCTAGCAAGTGAAGTAGCCTCTGCACTTTAGCCCAGCTGAGATAACTGTGTTCCTTGCTGATATATTTCTCTCCCAGTGTGTGGTGGTCATTACATTTCCTGGAACGGGACACTGAGTTCCCCTTATTACCCAAGTTACTACCCACCAAACATTGACTGCAGCTGGATCATCAGAGTAAGTGCTGGGAACTCTTCTGAGTAGTGATGATTTTGTTTTATGTGATAATATAATAAAGACATAAAATTGGGTGAAATAGCTTTCAATGCGGGTGAAATGGAGGGAAAATATACCACTGCACCTGACTTCTCCTCAGGCACCCATTTCTTTCCTCTGCTCTGTGCAAGTGCCAGATATGAGAGGAAATCATTGCCACCTTCCAAAAGTTTGACTATTATTCAGAACAGAAGTAAAGTGATGGGTAAGATGACAACTGTCAGTCAGAGAAAATCGCTGATAGTCAGGGCTTTGCTTCTATGTCAGAAAGAAAAAATGATCACGTAAATTACACCTCATGTGATGGATACCACGCTGTATTTCCTTGAACTCTGCAGAAACGGGACCTTCTCTGGCTCAGAAATTCAGCTCTGGATTTCCAGTAAGCCCTTTGTCAGGACTTAGAATCTGCTCATGATTTCTGCCAACTTCCTGGTGTGTTTTTCTGTTGCTCCACTAAACATTTAACTTCTTTTTTGACTTTCCCTGCAAAAGAATGCTCTTCATGTCTACAAGTTGGTAATGGGCTCTACCTTTCACCTGCTCAATTAAAACTATTATCAGCTTGTGGCACAAAACTCATTGATATGAAGGAAAGGGAAGAAAAAGGCTTTCTAAAACAGAGAGGTCATAGTGACCAGCTGCCGTAGATATCTTAAATCTCTTATTTGACCTACTGGAACACGTAGCAGTACAAACTTAGCATGAAACTCAGATACAGTGCTTTGTGCTGGCTGCAGGAAGGCTTACGCTCCTTCATCTGGCACAGTCTGGTCAAAATTGGGTCTAAAAAGATGTGTTTAAAGTAGCAAAGATTTTTGGTTCTTCAAAGGTGCTGATTTGCATAATAAAGATACAGTATTTACAACCTGCTAATAAGTAAAACAAGATTTACTATCTTAGAAACACAGGCCTTTTCTTTTTGTCCATCTCTGTGTCAGGCTATTTATCCTTTGATTATTAGGCACCATTGCCTGGCTACAAGCTTTCATTAAAAATCCTCATAATACAAATTCAAGAGAAGTCTCCAGGATCCAGTAAATGTGATAAAGACTGGTTAGAAATTGATGGGGTTAGGTGAGTAAATACCCTATTTTCTGACATATTAATTTGCACTTCGAAGTTCTGTGCAACTTACTGTACTGAAGAAAAAATGTCTCACCACTTCAGTGCAGAAAGATGTATTTCAACAAAAATTTGCATACTTCCACTGAATTTAAGCAGAATAATGTTCTTAATCCTGCCCTAGTGCCTAACATTTGTCATTATATTAATTTAAGCATCCTGCTTTTTCTGCGGTGTTAGGCATTTACTTACTTTGTTGTTCCCACTAAAAGCAATGACATAGAAAACTAGCTGCAGTTAAACTGTAAATTCCTCGTAATGGTCTTGACATGGACGAAGAGCTTGCATCATCTGAAGTTTCATTTTCTATACCACTTACTCTTCAGTGATTGTAATTATTTTCTGTAAATAAGACAAGTTACAGTATGTGTGTTTAAAATAAACAACCACAACTACCACACCCCCCAAAAAAACCCACCCAAAAAAACAGCATTCAGAGTGATCTGTCCCTTGCAAGGACCGTACTGAAACCTACAACGGCCATTGGATTTGGCTGTATGATTTCATTACTGAATATGTAGCCTTTGAGATTGCAAACCTAAATGCAAAATCTTAAATCAAGCGTGCTTAGAAGCTGCTTGTATTTATGAGGTAGATTCTGCCATTGATCATGGTGCTGTATTTTCTTTCAAAGTCTGCTAGTCCCAGAAATGTTGTGGAGTGGAAGGCATTTGTAAATAGCCTTTGTAATACTTCTCTTGGGCTGTTTTGTATTTAATTGGACAAATAGATGTAGAAAATTAGCCAAAAGAAGCTTTTAGAAGCCGGTACTTATTCTCTAACTTTTAACAACACTTCTATAAAATGGGGAGTAAAAGTTAAATTTCTCAGTTTCTGTAGATCTAATTATTTGGCATTTTGACACCATCTTAAAATAGCGAAACTGCAACATGAAAATAGCATGGCAGAGAGCCTCTAAGTATGACTCTTCTGCCAACAGGAGTTAACCATTAATAGTTAGTCTATTTAAAATCACAACTCAACATGCTCTGGATCAGCTTCCAGGTTTAGATAAGTTATTCAAGTTGTCATTGAGGACCCCTTGCTAGCAGGTGTTGCAGAAATATGACTAGGTTTCTTATAGCCCTTTCCTGACTCCCCCATTTATGCACTTCTGGATCAGTGTTAGATTTTGGGGGAGCTTCCAGGAGGTGGAACAGGGATTTTCAGGAGGTACACATATTTACTTATGATATTTCTTAGAAAAGATACATCTGCAATATATTCTTCTCTTTCCTTTACCCGGTTAACATCTAGGTAGCTAAAGTTCTCTGTGACTTCAAGAGATCAGTTCAGTTTGTGAAACCTCTTCAGATCCTCAGCTTACTTGACTAAGTGTCGTTCTGTTCGTTTCTGACTCACTTAGAAGTATTTATATATATTAAGATCTCTGATATAGAAATAAGTGGCAGATTTTGTGGTCAGTCATTCTAGAGGACTCAGATATTTTCAAGGATTTCTTTTTCCACTAATGTATGTCTCTTCCTATTGTAAAAAGTTACAAACTATACTATGTCCTATGGTTAGTCTGGTTACTGCCTCAAAAATGGTTCAGAGATGAGTCAAAGCCTTTTGACAGAGAAAAATCCTCAGTCTTTATTGTGTGTACAAGTCTTTACTTTCTGTGTGCTCTGCTCCATTTCTAGCACTGAGCCAGCAAGCAGATGGCTCAAAGTCATGTAATCAATGCTTAGTCACAATCTTAAGGATCTGTACTAAGACTCACCAGGAGGGGCAGATTAGCTGTGATGTGTCAGTGTTAAGTCGATACAGTAAAGGTATTTGTGGAGGGCTGTTTGAGAGACCAAATTGTGTTGAGAGCTCTGGTCCTCCACAGTAGCCTTGTCTATAGCAATAGTATGAGGAAGAGGAGAAAAAAAGTAAAAATGCCAGCCATCAGCTGTATGACTTCAGGGAATGGCAAAGAGAACACAGAGAAACTCCTGCTTTGAGCTAGTGCTGGCTGGGTAATGTGCGCTTTCATCTCACTGGCGTCACATGCAAAGTAGTGAAGAGGACTAAATGACTCCAGACTGCAACTGATTAAATAAATGTGGAACAAATGTGTTTGGTCCTTCAATCCAATTTAGCTGTTAATTTGCTGGTAGTGTTAGAGGGGGAAAAAGTTGAAGTTGAAAAGTTGAGAAAGTTGAAGTTGACTTGAACTGGGCAGAAATAGGAGGGGGTTTGGCTACTTATTCTTCCACAGATCATCATTTTTGTTCTTGGTTTTGGTGTGGGTTTTTTGTTTGTTTGTTTGTTTCTTTTTTGGCTGGCACATCTGAAAAAGTAGAAGAGAACAAACATTTTTTATATATTGCAAAGAAACACCTTAGCATCTGTACTAGTTGTTAGTTTAATTGAAGGAGAAAGAGACTCTTGGTGAAAGGCTGTTTTGTAATGAAATTGCTAGATTTGAAAACTGTTTGATAAAGCACTTATTCACCTCAGACATGAAGTTGCAGTATAGTAGCACAGAAATTAGTTTCTATGACATTTTTATGTCACAAAATTTGTATTTCTAATACTATAGAGAAATCCTAGTTAGATTTTTGTGTGTGGTTTGTTTGTTTTTTCTCCTCGCCTTAGATGCTCTCATGTAAAATACGTTACCTTCAGAAATTGAAGGGGTGTTTGTTAGTGGTAGTAGTTATGTATCTGTGCTCAATCACTTTCAATCCTTAGAGTGAGGCAGTGAATGTGATTTTAATTTTCTAAGTCCATTTAGGTGAATATTGACTAATTTAATTCAGACTTCTTGATAAAAATCTTTGTCAGATTATCCCAAGATAGCATTTCCTTTTTTAACGTTCAATTTAGTTTATAAATTACACTAGCTTTGGTTTTTATTAGCCATTTTAAAATTTCTTCCTGGTATAGTCCTGTGTTAATTAATTTAGACTGTAACAGCATTTCTAGTGCCATTAATTTCTTATTTTTCTAGCTTGCCCTTAGATGTGCAGATAGAATATGTATTCCTTCAAGCAATCAGTCTGAAGGCTGGAAAGGCTGCTCGGATGGTAGTGATGAACTAGACTGTGGTAGGGAAATTGTTTCTTGTTTGTGTTCTTCTGGAAACAGTTTGTTTCAGGTAGTTTAGAGACTGGATTAAATTATCTCTAAAATATTGGTGGTTATTTTTAAGATCACATGAAGGATGTGGGTGAAGATCTAAAAGTCTAGAGAAGAGGCTGTGTAATGCATCTTTAAAGAGTGGGAGAACAGAAAAAACGAGAAGGGAATTTTACACCAATCTTTACAACTTAAGCTTCCAAAAAAAATATTAAGCAACAAGTACTCAAAGTAGACTATGTGGAAAGAGTCAAAAAGGCATTAAAAATGAGCATGGAGTTTTTTATTTTGTTTTAGTCCTCTGTTGTGAGAGGATAACTAGAGGAGTAGTTGTACTTTGACACTGTCTTGTGTAAGAAACTTACAAGTAAGTAGAGGAAAAACAGTGAGGGAAAAAACCAGAAAATCATTCCAGAGAATGGTTGCAAATGACTCATTACCAAAATGGAAGTATATTTTAAATATCATTCTGATAGTATCTGTTATGGGACATCTCATAATTTTTGTTAGTCATCAAAATGATGGATTAGAGAAGATGCTTATGAAATAGGAAAAGTGACACACAACGGAAAGAGGGATGTATTTAAGAGGGATGAATTTATAAATGATCCTGACAAGCTGGAGAATGTATGCGGAGAAAGCGATACTCCATTCAACGAAGATGAGACCTGAACTTAGGTAATCAAATACATATGTGGATTGCCTAAGTTGCTTTTCTGCTGAAAAATGGCTGGGGAGTGATAGTGGCTCGAAAGCTGACTTGAGAGTCACAAAGTCATACAATTTTATGTGTGTTTTGCATTCGTGTTTTGTTTGTGTTTTTTTAAAGTGTCACACTAGGATATAAGATTTTACCAGTCACCAGTGGGAAGGCTTCAGCTAGAGTATTGTATCCAAATTGAGCACTGCACATCAAAGATAGGGAACAATGAAGAGGTGCCAGAAGGAGTGATCAGAAGGCAATTCAAGGTCAGAAAGCACAGCACAGGTTAGGTAATGCAACAAGTTTCTCTGTCACTGGAAGCTATCAAAACCAAGGTAGGCTAATGTCTGGCAGAGGTGGCACAGTAACATCAATGTGACCTCTGGTAGGGAGTGTAGCACATGGCTGCTAGCCTGTTATTTGGATTATAAAGCATTTATAGACCTTTCTTCTTCAGGTTTTAATCCAGAGCAGTTGAAATGTGGTGATGGGAAGTGTAAGCATCAATATAAGACTTGTAAAGATGATGACAGATGTGGGGAGGACAGTGACGAAAACAACTGCTGTAAGTATAAGTTTTCAGTGGTTTTCCAAAAGATAGTGGAAGGCAGAAGCAGGAATATACTTCTTTTAATGGATAAATGTTGTACTTCTACATATTTTTTCATAGCACACAAGTATTAGTGAAAACAAAACATATAGAATATAACCAGGTCTTGGGAGAGTCTAAACAAGAAATTAAAGAAGCAAAATCCAAGATAACAGTGATTTTAGTCAGATGAACTAACCACAGCTTGCTGGTGATCCTGTTAGAAGAGCACTTTTCCCCAGCTGCTGCCAGATCAGTACCAAATAAGGGAGAGACACATAACAGCTTTAGGACTTTTGCCCTTTGCCTCATGCATGGTCTCTTTACTACAGATCCACCATGGTTATGGACATTGCTAGTACTACCGATGTACCCCCAGTGATTTTGCCTTTATAAGTTTTCACTTGCTTTGAAACTTAGGTCCTTGAGGTAGCCAGGAGTATGTCCTTGTTTGTTGAAAAAAAAAAAAAAAATCCCTTCCACTGTTTAGAGGTCACTGTAAACAACTGATTGTCCTAGGTTACAGTCTAAAATGTGCCAAA